GATATGAATGAAGAGGAAAGTAACGAAAAAATACGTGACACAACAAATGGGACACATGAAGAGTTATCTACAGTGTCACAAGTAACTAATAATGAGACGTCACAAGGGTTGGATAATGAAGAAAGTAATCGTCAATGTGATGTAGATAGCGTGACACCAGGAGACTCTTCTTAGCATAGGGAGGTGAGCATCTTGGATTGCAAGGCATTGTGGAACGTCCAAAAATTTCCGATATATATAGTTTCGTGCATTTGAAAGAAAATATAGTTAATTACAAACTCCATAACATAGTCGTTTCTTATTGGCAATCGGGGACGAACTAGAGTACTGATATGAAAATGGGGACAAAGGTAAAGCTCTAATGGGTAACCTACAAAGAATAAATATACGAGAGAATATGCGTTCTTTCATCTTAAGACAAATACTAACTTTCAGTTTATCTTAAAAAGCGCATTCCTTTACATCTCAATGCTATTTACAAAATATGCAGATAAAACAAAAAGCGGGTTGTGGGGGGGGGGGGGGGGTGGATGAATTACAAAACGAAAAAATAAATAACTATATGTGCAACAATAAAAGATAAAATCTAAAAGAAAATTTATTATAAAACGAAAAACACACACACAAACTCAACAAAAAACAAAAAAGAAAGCAAAGGTTAATTTGGCTGAGTGATCAACTAGACACTTTAAATAATACCGCGATTAATTTGCGGTACTATATTTTTCTAGTCTCTTATCTTTAGGTCCTTTAGTTTAGTCCCAAACAATAGTTTTCTTCCGTTTCCTGCGCCATCTTAAAAGGTAGCCGTGCATTTGCGTCGAAGCGAGACGAACGGTGAGCTTGAATGATAGAGACATGTGAATAATTGTCCAAGCTGTTTAAAAAACGGTGTCTATCATTGCAAGCTCACCGTTCGTCTCCTTTGATGCAAAGGCAAGGCTACGTTTCAAGATGGCACAGACAACTTTGAAAGGGACTATTTCATGTAGAGAACGAAACGCTTTCTTTTGTCGTGATTGTTCACGCTTAGAATTATGCAAAACATTTGAAAACTTTCGAACATTTAATGTTTTACAAAAATCAGTCAAAACAATCTCGTGAGAAACCTAGGTAATCGGATCGAGACTATAAAAAAACGGTTAATACAATATCATTTATCTCTTGATTAATTTTCAATATAGTATTAAAACAGCATGTTACCTATATATGTATTAATTCCTTTACTCACGTCAGTAACGTACGTTAAATATTGTAGGATTAAGTTAAATTTAAATTTCTTAAGCTCGGCATGAGTTCTTTTGCTCTTGGTATGATTCTAGTAGCTTCGTCAGGTATACGTCATTACACCAATGAATAAAATCATAGCCTATGGGTTCACTGAGTTACGTATCGCTTGACTTACTCACTGATCATTTGAAAATCAGACTGCTTCACTTGACAAACAAAACTTTTCTCGCGAAAATCTAAAAGAAAGCTATGGATTTTTACAGCGTATTACTTCTAAGCATTTTTCTATTCCTGCTTCAACCCAAAGAAGGTATTTACAAAGTTTATTGTTACTGATAGAACGATTAACGTTTTGAAAGAGTCTATTAGGTATTCAACTATGACGATAGGTTTATATTTGTTGAATGTTGATGAAAGTGATTCTTTGATGTTTGAGAAAAGAATTTAGAATGAAAACTTAGAGGCTAGGTAGATTACGAGAGGTTAATTTAAGATGTAGATAGTGTGTATTTCTTTAATCAATCTCATTCACTTTAGTCACTAATTTTCAACTGAAAAGTTGAAGATATAAAGTTGGAGAAATAAAATCAAATAATCAGAGACAAATTATTTTTCGTTATATAGTAGAGTGCAAACAAGTAATCCGTGAAACACTAATTACTAAATAGTACAAAATAGTACAAAAACAATAGAAAACAATGGAATTTGCATGAAATTGTGCTATTTAGTATTACTAAAGTTTCATGGATTTACTGTGGTCACTCTACTATTAGTACTAATTCATTATTTTCATACTCATTTATGTGTTTAAAGCACATATATTATATTGTATATCACACATATATACACTTAACCGCACAAAGAAACATCTTCAGTATCACACTAAACAACACTTAGAACAACACTTAGCATAACACTGATTATGATCAATAACAACTGACACCGATCCTTCAGCCTCCACGAATTAGCAAAGCGCTTGTTCCGAGCTACAAGATTCGAGACTTAAATACGTTTTATTATTTTTCTTCATATTTTATTATTAGACAACTTTTGGAACTCAGGCTAACGAGATTCAAGCTATATAGAAAATCATAGGACTAAAAGATCGAGTAAATTTAGCACCAGATGAGGATATGTTGGAACTAAAAACAATGTCAAACAATTCGAACTGATTTTGTTTTGGGTTATTTTGTGATTGCAGTATCTGCAGTGGAATTGGAAACCGCCGTGGGTAAGTTTTCTTTTCTTCTCAAAAATCTCAATACAAAATTCTCAATCAATATTCATATTTGTATTGCATGTATATTTTTGGGTAGGGCGGGGTGGGTGGGGAAATTACTGTCGGAATAATGCATAATCCAGTCTATGGAACACTTTACCAAGAGAAATTAAAACTAATGTACTAATGTACTAATTTTGATCACTTTAAAAAACTCTTAAAAACATTTCTGTTCCGCGATGCTTACAATTTGTAATATTTCTATCTTAAATTTTAAATTTGTAATATTTCTAATTTAGATTTTTAGTGATTGTTGCATATGTTAAGTTTTACAAATGGACTGAACATATTTTTTATATATTTTTTATATAACATTATTTTTTATAATTATAATTTTATTATTATATAATTAATACAGTTTATAATTTTTTACCTTCTTAGTTTTTTTTATATTGAAATCTTATTTGTATATATTTATTTTTTTCTTCCTAGTTGTTAAGCGCTATAGAGTTAATAAATATAGCGCTATAGAAATTTAATAAATTATTTATTATATTATTATTAGTAGCCATTTTTAATTTCCATCGTTCTTTCCACAGTGGTTGTCATCGTAATTTTGTTTGTGGTCGTTATTGTCCTCTGTATTGTGATTATTTGCATAGTATGGCGGTTTTTCAAACAGTAAGTGGTAAAAAAAAAAAAAAAGTTTAAAAAAAAATTGGTATTAACCCTGAACTCTATAAATACCCTGCAAGCAGAGGTTGTTTTTCTTCCCCTCTGTAGATATGAGCGGCAGAAGGACCGGCAAAAGACCGTTGCAAGCAGGCTAAATTCTAACGTTTGCGCCTATTAAAAGCTCATTGATGGAATGTTGTGTTTGTTTGTAATTTAAGAAGTGAAATCAAGCAAGTCGATTTGAACGCGCTTGACGTCATCGTCTGCAGTGTTGCGTCCTCCAACTCCCTGGAATGTTCGAATCGAAATTATAAAACATATTTTCAGTCATGGCATCCCGTTGATTTTATCAAGGGGGAAGGGGGTGTGGAACGAGAATTTGAACCGAATGTTTCTATATGAAGTATATTGTTCTGCGAAAGTATATTGTGTACACGGACGTACGGACGGACGGACGGACGGAAGAGACGTCAGCTAAGCCACGAAAAATCAACTCGATGGTTTATCAATTTTTCTTCCATGATGGCTAAGCTTTGTTGGTCTATTTTTCAGCCGCAGGCATGTCCGTGACTACGAGAGAGAAGACCATCGCGATTCTTATGACAACCGTGGAGCGATGGTAATGCGTGAGCAGAAGCCAAAGAAGGTATGTTATTTCACTCGTTGATATTAACTATAATCATCAACATCAGCAGCACCATGGCTTTCATCATCATTGTTATCGCACCACTAGCATCAGCAGCAGCGACAACATTACTATCATCGTTGTCAGGATCATCACCATCATCCTCTTTATCATCATTCTCATTAATGTCACTATTGTCATCCTCATTACCATCATCTGCCGCAGTAGCATTAGCTACCCTCATCATCACTATCATGATCAACGTCATTATCCCCATCATCACCAATGATCATTCTTATTAACGTCATCATCCTCATCCTAATCACCGTCATCAGCAGCAGTAGCAGCTTCATCACCGTCAATATCATCATCAAGGAGCTACATTATTGACTCCTTTGATCACCACCCCCATCACCATCGTCATCATTATCACCAGCATCAACACCATCGCTATCACCATCCATCATCATTGTTATCATTAACATTATCATCATTATCGACAGGTTGAAGAAGATCCTCTTCAGAAGCCAAAGAAGAAATCAGAAAAATACAGGGTGAAAAACTTGAGTTAACTAAAATTGAAAATAGCATGGTTACAGAATGACAGTCGATTAAATAAAGAGATGGCTCATCATGTTTACCTTAGATATACATTCAAAGACACATTACAGTGGCACGCAGGCATGCAGAACGACACACAGGAGGCCTGATACACCTATAGACCCCATGCAGCACGACAGAATGAAGCTTAATTGGAAGGACATTACATTAGGTTTCCCATTCTCAAGATATTGAAATTCTTTTGTTTTGTCCTTTGTTTTCCTTCGTTTTACTTTGACTGTTAGTCACTAATAGGCCCTTTGCAGATAAACAATCACGTGCTGATTAATTCACTTAGAGCAAATGAATGAACATTTTGATTCCCATGGCTGAAATTTACTGGAGAGCAAACAGACTTTCTACAACCTTTTTTAAGAGATCGTAATAAAACTGCACTAGTAACACACTGGATACATTTCTTTTCGTCCAGTTCTTTTCAGTGCCTAAAAAGAATCACCAATTTAATTTAAAAACATAAATTTTACCCTCCAGTACAGGCACGTGACCGTTAACTGCAAAGGTTTTACAACTTTTGTTGCACGGGCCAAGTAAGATCATTCTAATGTCTAAATATACCAGGTTTGAGCGACGACCTGCTCTGAAAATTGTCTGTCTGGCTAAGATTATTTTTGATTTTTATGACGAGATTTCAGATTTACATCGCCAACGGACAAAGTATTTTTATTAAATAGGTGTATACCACTCAATTAAGCATTACTTTGTTTTTGATATTCAGGACGATTCAAGCGAAGATGACAGAAGAGAGAAGAAAAAGAAGTATCGAAAGGTACCAACAAATAGATAAAAATTAGTAGCCTGCTTAGACTCGATTTCTTTAGGCTCTGAAAACTCGCCAAAATTATCAGAACTTAAACGTATCAGTGCCGTGAGGTAAACGAAAAAAAATATTGGCGTTGTTTGTTTTCAGGATGACTCGAGCGACGAAGAAAAACGCAAGAAAAAACCTAAAGAGAAACCTCGAAAGGTATTTAAAATGAAAAACTTTGAAATCTGAAAACTCGCCAAAACTATCAGAACATAAACACATCAGTGCCATGAGGTAAACGAAAAGAAATATTGCGGTTGTCTGATTTTTGATTAGTTTTGATTCTTATGACGAGATTTCAGATTCACATCACCAACTGACAAAGCCGTACTTTTTGAAATAGCTGTTAATTATTCAATTAAGCATTCTAATTTTTTTTCGTATTCAGGACGATTCAAGTGAAGATGACAAGAGAGAGAAGAAAAAGAAGTATCGAAAGGTGCCAACAAATAGATAAAGATTAGTAGCCTGTTTGCAGACTCGATTTCTTTAGGCTCTGAAAACTCGCCAAAATTATCAGAACTTAAACACATCAGTGCCGTGAGGTAAACGAAAAATAATATTGCGGTTGTTTGTTTTCAGGATGACTCGAGCGATTCAAGTGAAGATGACAGAAGAGAGAAGAAAAAGAAATATCGAAAGGTATTCAAAATGAAAAACTATGAAATCTGAAAACTCGCCAAAACTATCAGAACTTAAACACATCAGTGCCGTGAAGTAAACAAAAAAATATTGCGGTTGTTTGTTTTCAGGATGACTCGAGCGACGAAGAAAAACGCAAGAAAAAACCTAAAGAGAAACCTCGAAAGGTATTTAAAATGAAAATCATTATCGGGTATTTATTAGGTATTTATAATCCGCAATCAAGTTTGGGTTATTTAATTTCTTGTTGGCGTGCAAATCAAGCGAGGAAGAGCGTGAGAAAAAAATAAGCAATAAACATTATTAATAATAATTAATAACATTATTATTATACTATTTATGTGCGCTAACCGTACTCGCGCAGCCTTCCAAAGAAAATCCTTCCATTTCAGCCACAGGTAGCCCAAGCTTGGTTTCTGTGGTGTCATGTTAAAAGGAAATGTATGGGGATTCTTCAAAAATTTCAATAAAATCATCGAAACGCGAAATCAAGCCTTGAAATTTCACTTGATAATTGATAAATAGCACTTCTTTCGCTCTGTTTGGTTATTTTTGCATTTAGCCCGTTTTTAGGATTTTTTCCCCCACCAGTAAGAAATAAGATTATTATTTCTTATTCTTATTTCTTACTGAAGTTTCAGCCCGCAAATTCTCCTGTCTTGAGTT